GTACTACGTACTAATTAACTTATACTACGTACGTACGTACGTACGTATATATATACTACTACTACTATATATATATATATATATATATATATATATATATATATATATATATGCAGGCTGTTCGCATAGAAACCGTGTCCATGAAAAAAAAAAAAGAAAGAAAGAAAAAAATAGTAAATTGGCATTAGTTTGGCACCTAGGACAAAAAAAAGAAGAAGTGTCATAACATTTTATCTTCTCCATGAGATGATTGTTTGCTATCGTTTCTTTGTTGTAATAGACCATGCTAGTGAAACTAACTCAATAACACCATTATTAAAGCTTTTGAAGAGCTAAATCAACCTCAATAACACCATTACTAAAGCTTTTGAAGAGCTAAATCAATAGGCTAGTATTAGCCTTGCTCGAAGAAGCAGATGGACAGTAAATCAATAGGCTACTATTAGTCTTGTTCGCCTAGAGATTTTGTGTCGAATGGCTGGAATTGGGTTTGGATTTGTCCAAATTGGGGATTAAAATAATAATAATAATAATAATAAAAAGGATATTTATAGGGTCGGTATTTATAACCAAAAAAATATATCAGATAAAGTTTACAAAAAAAAAAAAAAGGAAAAAAATATAGGTTTCAGCATGATGCGGTTTACATAGAGCGGAGGCTCTAAACAATCTAAGTAGAGGCCACCTTTAAATAGAGTAAAAAAATGTGGTTCCAACATTGAAAATATTTGTGATAGCATCAAATTATATTTTCACATATAATTATAAAATTTAAAGCTTAAAAAATAGTGTAGAGCAAGCAGATCTATGAAAATTTGAAAATCTTGAAAATTGACAGTCTAAAAATATATTACAAGATGCACTATTTTCAAAACTTGAAATGTATTTTTTCTCATGTCCATCCATCTTGATGTCGAGATGATCAATTTGAAAATATTTGAGCATCAAAATAACCCCTTCTAGTGAAAATTTGAGGTAGGCTCTAATTTGATTGTTTAGAACCTTGGCCATATATAAGCTTCTTCCTTTTCGAAAAGAACCAATAAGACCCATATCATCCCGATTGACTCGATCCCGAGTGATTACCATCCTAAGGGTTATACATATCAAAATCGGCGGGTTTTAAAATGGTACGACTCCGTTCTTCCACTAGTCTAAAGATGCCTTGAAACTTGAAAGAGATCACGTATGTCATTTAGCCAATTATTAGGGTTTATTTGGTCATTTGATGAACCGTGAAGGGCTAGCCTAGCCTTTCTCCCACTTTTATTTTGATTCCGGAGGCATCCAGTCTGCTCTCTCTACTTGGGTTTGATTGCTCCTCCCAGTTCGAGCTCCAGTACTTTCTCTCTCTAAAACTTTTAGGGCATCTCTCGAACACACTTTCTTCGAGGTAAGTCTCTCTCTCTAAATGCCATCATTTGTGTTACTTTAAGTTTAATTTTTTTGTCTCTGTTTTTTACATCCGAAGAGAAACCCTAGTTTTTGAGAGCTAGAAAATTGCAGAACAATCACTTGGACACTTTGTATTTATTTTTAAATATGTCAAAACATTTTTGGGGAGATGTTGTTGTAACAGCAGGTTCCTTAATCAATATATACATATATATATATATATGTTGGTTGGCCGCATAGAAACCGTGTTTATTAAAAAAAAAGAAAAAAAGAAAAAAAGAGTAAATTGGCATTAATTTGCCATCTAGGACAAAAAAAAAGAAGTGCCGTAACATTTTATCTTCTCCATGAGATGATTGTTTGCTGTGGTTTCTTTGTTGTAATAGACCATGCTAGCGAAACTAACTCAATAACACCACTACTAAAGCTTTTGAAGAGCTAAATCAACCTCAATAACACCATTACTAAAGCTTTTGAAGAGCTAAATCAACCTCAATAACACCATTACTAAAGCTTTTAAAGAGCTAAATCAATAGGCTACTATTGGTCTTGCTCGAGTAAGCAGATGGACAGTATACTCTCGCAGGATTCGTAAATCTTTTGGCAACTGTTGGAACTTTGGAAAGCAGTGTTCATAAATGTCATTTACAAATTGTTTTGTCCTGATTTTGTCAGCCGTCAAATAAAATAACAAGACATTCTCCTTATTCTCTCTCTAAAAGCCTTCTCTCTCTGTATTTTCTACAGCATCTCTCTCTGAGGTAAGTGTTTCTCTCTCTAAATCCTTTCAAATTCCATTCATTTCATTTATTTTCTATCATTTTTTGAGTCTGAAACGAAACCCTAATTTTGTAGAACTCGAAAAATCTAAGAATCATCACTCGGAACTCCCAATTGCTATCTGGAAAGCTACTTATTTTGTTGATTTTGCTACAATTTCATCCGTGGTTTCTTCATTTTATAATATCGGGATTTTTAAGTTTATTAACATGGAAATTTTTAGAACCATCGAATTTTGTATGTAATTTTTAAGGAATGAAATTGTATATTTCGTGTTATTGATGAGATTAGGGTTTTGATTTCGGATTCATATAGAGAATCATTTGTTAGAACCTAAAATATTGCTCCAATTTTCAGAATCAGGAACGTTTCGAACCTAAAATATTGCTCCAATTTTCAAAATCAGGAACGTTTGGTCTTGGTTGACATGTTGAGTTCCTTTCCTACCACAAGTAGGAGGCCCCATCCCTACCGAACTATCAACCCCTGCCCACCAAAAAAAGAAAAATACACTGTAGAAAGATAGGGGTTAGGATTAAGCTTTGATTGTTTGGATGATTTTTGAGTTTTTTTTTTTCTCAAAGTAAGTGTGGAGAGTATGGGAGAGAAAATGAGTACACAAGAATTTGCATGGTTCATCCGATTGGGCCTACATTCACGAAGGGAGAATTAATCTGTATTATTATAACCCTTCTATAGATCCCTTGTACAGATATATAGAATTGTATATGAGAACATTCTATATTGAAAAGGCCACAATAGGAAACAATGATCAACATGATTAAGGAAAATCATCGTGATTTAGGAAAGCTGGTTGATATGCAGATATTACTGGGATACACCAGGCTATCTCAACACTCCCCTTCAAGTTGGTGCAAAGAGATTGAACGAGCCCAACTTGTCAAGAGCACAGATGAATTTTTCCTAGCCAACCGTTTTAGTGAAGATATCTGCAAGTTGATTTTCACTGTTAACATGAGGAGTACAAATCATCTTGGCTTGAACCTTCTCCCTGACAAAATGACAATCAACTTTAATATGTTTAGTTCTCTCATGAAAAACATGATAAGTTGCAATATGGATTGCAGCTTGGTTGTCACAAAATAATGGTATTGGCTTGGCTAACTTGAAACCTAAGTTCATTGAGAAAGGATTTTAATCAAATTAGTTCACAAGTTGTGGACGCCATGACACGATATTTTGCCTCAGCACTGGATCTAGTGACAACATTTTGCTTTTTACTTTTCTATGTGACAATATTTCCACCAACAAAAGTGCATAAACCTGTGGTAGATTTTCTATCTAAAGGGTTACCAGCCCAATCTGCATCACAATAACCAATTATGTTTTCAGGTCCATTGTTTTTCATCCAGATTTCATGACTAGGGGAAGATTTTAAATATCCTAGAATTCTATCAATGGCCTACATGTGAGAAGATCTGGGGGTATGCATGAACTGACTAACCATGCTCACAACATAGGTGATATCTGGTCTGGTAATAGTTATGTAACCAACATCTTGAAGAGGTTCACCATCCTCGATGGAGATCTTGTTATTTACGTTAACTGGAGTATCAATAGGTTTAGCTCCAATTTTACCAGTTTCTGTCAAGAGATCTAAGGTATATTTCCTTTGTGAAAGAAACAATCCTTTCTTAGAATAAGCAACTTCTATACTAAGGAAATACCTTAATTTTCCTAAATATTTAATATCAAAAACATTGCCTAGATATTTCTTTAGTTGATCAATCCCTTGTATGTGGCTCCCAGTGACTATAATATCATCAACATATACCAATACAACAACAATTCCGGCGGATTTCCTTTTAATAAACTTAGAAGAATCAACAACACTTCTAGTAAAACCATTATTTAATAAGGCATTGCTTAACTTGGCATACCAGGCCCTATGAGATTGTTTTAAGCCATATATTGCTTTCTTTAGTTTTCACACAAGATCTAAATTTTTTTTAGGGTGTCCATGAGGTATTTCCATATACACCTCCTCTTCTAAATCACCTTGAAGAAAAGCATTTTTAACATCGAGTTGGAACAAGGGCCAATTTTGATTTGTGGCCATTGAAAGAAGAACTCTAATAGAGTTCATTTTGGCCACAAGTGCGAAAGTTTCTTTATTGTCTTCACCATAAGTTTGTGTAAACCCTTTTGCAACTAACCTAACTTTACGCCTCTCAATTGTACCATCACTCTTGTACTTGATTTTGTAAATCCATTTATTTTCAACCACTTTCTTTCCATTGGGTAACTTGACAAGTTCCCGAGTATGGTTCTTGTCAAGGGCCTGAAGTTCTTCTTCCATAGCCTTTTTCCAAACTGACTTGAAAATGGCCTCTTGGAAGTTAGCCGATTACATATTGGAGAAACAGAGCTAAGATAAGAAAAATAATTTTGAGAGATATGAGAGTAATCAACAAATTGTTCAATAGGATAGGTGGAAGCATTATAGGTATAAAAATCATGAAACTTACTTGGGAGACGAGTGGTACGTTGAGGTCGACTAATGGAAGGGGGGGCCACACGAGATTCGATTTTGTGAGGTTCAGCTTGAGGTTCTTCTTCATGAGGAACTCAACTGCTTCTTCTCCATTCTCATTTTCATCATTTTTATCAGTATCAAAATCATCAACAGTGATGTTGGGCATAACCATATGTGTCTCCCCCATGAACCAAACTTTCCTTAGTGGGAACAAAATATGATTCATTTTCTCGAAAAACAACATTACGGGAAATGATAACCTGTTGGTTGATCGAATCATAGCATTTATATGCCTTTTGAGTGGGACAGTATCCGATAAAAATACATTTTTTTGCTTTAGCGCTTAATTTATCAACATTTTGACTGTGTACAAAACAGACACATCCACATATTTTGAGATGATTCAAAGAAGTCTTCTTTCCTTTTAGAACTTCCATAAGAGATCTATTTTTCAAAAGTTTGCTTGGCCATCTATTGATTAAGTAACCTGCTGTTAAAACAACATCTCCCCAAAAATGTTTTGGCATATTGCTCTGAAACATCAAAGCATGAGTGACCTCAAGTAAATGGCGATTCTTGCGTTCGGCAATCCCATTTTGTTGGGGAGTTCCAACGTAAGAAGTTGGTGAATAATTCATTTTTCTTTAAGATAAGTGGAAAAATTGTTGTTCACATACTCTATCCTATTGTCAGATTGCAACACTTTAATTTTGGCATCAGATTGAGTTTCAATCATTATAGAGAACTCTCAAAAAGTGGGAAAAACTTGATCTTTTGAATGAAGTAAATATACCCAAATTGTCCTCAAAAAATCATAAATAAATGTCACAAAATATCGATATCTGCGAGTAGATTTAATTGGAGCAGGTCCCCAAACATCAATGTGAATTAAATTAAATGGAGAAAGAGATGTTCTAGTAGAACTTCTAAAAGGAAAATGAGTTTGTTTCGAGTATCGACAAATATCACAATCCAGAGTCCAAATGCAATGAAGGAAAAACATAACAAAGAATTTTCTCACAGGGATGTCCGAATCTCATATGCCATTTTCTACTATCTATTACCTCCTCTTTAGAAGTGACATGGGCTTTTGTCGCAGAATCCAAAATGTAAAGCCCATGAACCAGCTTCCCCTCACCAATCTTCCACCCCGTGACCCGGTCCTGGAGCAACACATGAAGGAGAAAAGATTACGTCACAGTTGTGACTTTGGGTGATTTTACTAACATATAACAGATTAGATAAAAAAAAGGTAAATAAAGAACATCAGTGGAAGATGAGCTACTAAAAAATTTGGTTTTTCCATTTCCTTCAACAGGAATGAGGTTCTATTTGCTATTGTGATAGAATTCCTTTTTGTATTTTTATCAAGATTTAAAAGCAGATTAGGAGTCCCAGTCATATGATCAGTAGCTCTAGAATTAGTAACCCATAATGTTGGTGATTCGAAAGAAAAAGAAACGGATTTACCTGGTTCATGGTTAGGAGTCTCAGAGTTGGAAGCAATCGAAGCTTTGTGAAAATTCTGGAACATTTGGGCTAACTTCTCAAGAATTTGATGAACATCATTGTTGGCTATTTGAGCAGAGTTTTTATTTTTTCCTTGCATTTTTTCTCTCCTTTTTGCAAGGTAAAGTTTTCAGCAATTTTCTATGGGATGACCTTCCTTCTTACATTCAAGACAATAAGGTCTTCTTGTACCACGGTTTTTGCCACGACCACGCCAGGGTTTAAAGTTTGAAGTAAAGGCTTTTCCAGAGCTATGATCAGTTTCACTATTAAGAGCCGACCTATCAGATTGCTCTGGATGATTTTTATCATTTCCAATCATAGCCTGATGCTTAGATTCTTCTCTATTAATAATGGAGCAAACAGAATCAAAGTCAGGCATTTCTTTAGACAGTAAGATTTGGCTTCTCAAAGCCTCATGTTCAGGTCCAAGAGCAAACAACAAGGCAAATGTCTTTTCTTGATCTTTTCTAGTTTCAAGTGTTTTCAGATCAGTAGTGGTGGGCAGACAATAATCTAATTAATCAAATATACCGGAGACAATGCCAATAGCTGACTAAAAGTTTGATCACCCAACTTCAAATTCATGATTTCTTGTTTAATTAGATAAACTTTTGCGACATTATTTAGACCTCCATACATAGTTTGGGCTTTAGTTCAGACAATGGCAGCCATGGAGCAAAACTGAAATCCAGAAGCAATTTTGCGATCCATAGAATTCAAAAGCCAACTTTTTACCAAATCATTGTTGGTTTCCCACTCCTCGTATTTTGGATCAGTACTTGGAGGAGCCTTTTTAGTTTCATTTATGTATCCCAATTTTCCTTTTCCACTAATAAATAATTTGGCAGAGTTTGCCCAAAAAATATAATTAACCCCTCCCTTTAATAATTCGGTGGTTATTCTAAGGTTGGGATTTGGTTCATTATTGTTGGAAATTTCAGCCATGAGAACAAATACCATGGTTAAATAAAAAGGAACGAAGAAAGTCCTTACCGAGCCAAGCAGAAAAAAATATCGAAGAAGAATAACCAAAAAACCAAGACGTTCAACACCCTGTAGTTGTTGAAGCTGGCGAAGTGCACTAGATAGCCTACAAGATCGTTGAATAAGAATATTGCCTTCTTGAAATAATGTGTTCTCAGGGGTCCACCACAAACTTATGAGAGAAGAGACCACCAGCAATCAACTTATGAGAAAAGAGACCACCAGCAGGCTGATTTCGTCATAAAACCAAGGTCACCGGAAAAATATAGCGCCGAAAAAATTGTTTGTAGCAGCCTGCTGGATTTTCCCACTACTAGAGTGTTTTACATCAATAGCACAGGCATTAGGTCTTGGATTTTTCCAGTTTGCATAGCCGGTTTATGAGAGATGTATCAACCTCATACGAATGCAGCAGCTGGCAAAGGTTGACCGGGTGTTCAATATGATAAGGAGTTCATAGTTTGATCTTTGGATTTGCTCTCTAGACTTGCAGAAGGACTTGGCAGTGGGATAGAAAGCCTGGTTGCACAAAGCAAGCTGAGGGACCTGCTTTTGCAATGTTGTGTTGATGAAACTGCTGATATTCGGCAAAGTGCCTTTGCGCTTCTTGGTGACCTTGCTAGAGTTTGCAAGGGGCTACTTGTTTTGCTTTTGCTACGTTAGAAGAGGAAGCTGCAGAAGAGCTGGCCTCACGCTTGGAAATTATATTGCAGCACCTTCTTTGCACTTCTGGGAAATATCATGAAAGAAACCTTCGTATTCTGTATGATGCAATTGGTACATTAGCGGATGCAGTTGGACAAGGGCTTGATCAGCCTGGCTATTTTGAAATATTGATGCCTCCATTATCTCAAAGTGGCAGCAGCTGACTAATTCAGACAAGACAATCGGAAAACCAGCAACCCTAGATCATAAGACTCCTCCCAAAGCAAACAGTGCTTTGTCTAACCGAGCAAGATCAACTAGTAGATTGAAACTGTGCTCTAATACCATGTTAAGAGTATGGGAGAGAAAATGAGTACACAAGAATTTACGTGGTTCTGCCGATTGGGCCTACATCCACGAAGGGAGAATTAATCTGTATTATTATAACCCTTTTATGGCTCCCTTATACAGATATATAGATTTGTATATCAAAACATTTATATTGAAGAGTCCACAATAGGAAACAGTGATCAGCCTGATTAAGGGAAATCATCGTGATTTAGAAAAGTTGCTGATATGCAGATGTCAATGGGATACACCAGGCTGTCTCAACAATAAGGATCCTTTTTTTTTGTTTTTGAAATTATGTCATAGAAGGACATACATTCTATAGGCCTTTTGGTATGTCTTTCTTTCTGGACTTTTGGCTTTCTATATTGCAAAGGAAAAATTATAGGGTTTTTATTTATTAGCTTGGAAAATTAGGCTTTTGGCACCTCTTTAGTTATCTATTTAATTAAAAAAGGCAACTCTAATTTGTTGCAGTTGTGGATAGATTTTTTTTTTATTCCAGTTTTTATTTTTACCTATTCCTTTTTTTTTTGATACAACATGGTTGATTGGTGGAACTTCTAAGAAGCAGGAGACCAAAGTTACACCAAATCATCCTTGCCTGTTTGCTTACACCCTCTCCGAAGCTTTCCCATCCAGCATAGAGCATGGAAGGGGCTTTGGTGGGCCCCCGCTTCCACCAACCAAGGATGCCCTTAATGTTTTCATTACTTTTAGAAGTTTATTGTTCTACTGATTTCATTACTGATGTTAGTTTATTGCTAATGTGTTGCACTCTTTTCACAATGAGATTATCTACTTGCTGATATAGTGGATTCTGTCAAGATACATATTAAATTGGTCCTTTCTAGGAGCCAGATGTTTAGCTTTAGAAGGGATATCTTTTGGTTTTGTTCCCTGCACACTTTCATAAAAAATATTAAAGTTTTCAGGGGGAAAAAAACTTGTATACTTCTGACACCCTTTGTTTTGTTTTGAGGGTTAGTTTTCTGAGATTGTTCATGTCTTGGTTTTTCCACTGATTTCATCTTTTAAAGGAAATCGAAAACATGATGCTTGTTTTCATGCAGTTTGAAGGTTCTTCTTTAATCATCAAGGTCTACACTGCAAGCAATCCTATTCGATAGAGTAAATGCAGGTAAGCTATAATGTGTTTATTGCATGAGCTTGATAAAGATGCCTTTGTACATTATGTATAAAGTTGTTGCTGTATCATTTGTTGGATCGTCTAGTAAATAGGATTGCTCTTATTATGTTTTTCTGCATTTCAGCTTTTATCCGTAGTATGTTGTGAATCACTTGATCATTTGGATTCATTATAAGACTTATAGCTTAAAATCTAGTATATGTGCAAATATAAGTGTTCCTTGCGGAAATGGGCAAGATGCTTTTCCAGGCTGATGAATAAACTGCCCTGATTCTAAAATCCAACAATGGGTGAGATTTTGAGTATTTTTACGAACATAGGAGGTCATTTAACTTGCTCAAGTTAAGCCTTATTTAGGCATTGTTTCTATAGCCAAAAATGATCTTTTGTACAATAGATGTACAGCTCTGAAATATTATTCCCTGCAACATATTACGGCCCCCCGAGTGAAGTCCAAACATAGTTTGCACGAACAAAAAATGTGTCTAAAGGATTTGGAAATTCCTAGCCTGGGTATGCTAAAGGGTTCAATGAAGTAAAGGTGGGTATTTGTATCAGTTTTCTTTTCTTTTTTGTGCATCTCTCGGAGTTTTTAGATTCATGCTTGTCTAAATCATCCAAATGAGTGTTCATCGGAATTTGGATAAATGCTTTTTTGATACGTTATGGGTATTACGTGTCATCTTCTACAATTTTGTTCAATATCCAGAAGAGTTTTTGTATGTTTATTATTTCACGGAAATATGAATACATGATTCCCCATGTGCTCCAAAATCTAGCTCTACAGTTTCCTTTTTGAGTCAACCAATCACGATTTCTGTCCTGATTCAATCTAGCTCTACAGTTTCCTATATGGGTGTGGTTTTTTTAGGACTAAGGCCCTAAACAATCAAAGTAAGGCGCACCTTCAAATAGTGTTGAAAGATGTTGTGGTACTAAAAATCTTTGTGATGGCCTGAAAATTTATTTTTATTTCTAATTATAAAATTTAAAGCTTCAAAAATAGTGTAGATTGAGTAGATTTATGAAGACTTGAAAATCTTGAAAATCAACGGTCCAGAAAATACAGTAGAAGATGCACTATTTCCAAGACTTTAAATCCATTTTTTCTCATGAACATACATCTAGAGGTCGAGATGGTCGATTTGAGGATTTTTGGGCATCAAAATGAACCTCTTCTACTGAATTTTTGAGCGCGCTTTAATTTGATTGTTTAGGACCTCACACTTATATAAATTTGTTCCTTTATATTTTTGCTTACTATGATGGTTTTAAATTATGGGTGAGAGGGTGGGCTGGATTTTTAAATTTTGAACTGAAATTGCTATGTAGGAGTTAATTTTTTTATTCAAAATAATGGGATCCGAGTAACCCTAGATGATTGTTTTAAAAGAAAAAAAAACGGATTTTGAGTTCTTGACATCTAGATCTTTCCCTCAAAAAAATGGAGGGTTCCTATGGAATCTTGGGACGTCATTTTTTTTTCAGGCACATAGAGGATACGATTTTTTTTTTTTTGGCGGTTAGTCATTGAGTTCTAGATATTATATCCCCAAAATTTTGGATCCAAAAAATATTCTGAGGAAGATTTTTGTTCAAGGGAGTAGATGAACAATATACTCCCAAGGGAATATGAAAGCTTTTCGCACATATTTTTGATTCCGATCAAGTTGGGGGATGTTACTGTGAATTTCTTTAAATTTTAATTGGAGTCAAAATTTGCATCATAGTTTTTGCTACTCCAGTATTTACATGTGAGCAATCCTAGCACCTACATGATATTCCCACACATTTTTTTGGTTGGTATTAGCAAATACAAAATCGCACAGTAATGCCCATTAAAACCATAACCCACTGTCGATTCGCTCAGTCTTAGCTTTTAGTAAAAGCGTTACCTGGTAAAGCTACACCACAATTGCCCTTCCTTTTAGTCCCACATTGAGGACGAGAAGGAGATTCTTTTTTTTTTTGGGGGGGCTTGGGGAACGGCAACCTTATCATAGGGGTTCATGGATAGAAAAACATGGCGTTGGTGGCTTCCCACTTTGAAGGAGGTGGATGGGCCCTCTACCACCAATCTTTAAATAAAAATATCAAATAAAAAAATAAAACCAAAAAAAAAAAAAAAAAATTGAAGATGGGTCCCGTGGTGGGTTCCCTAATCAAACAACTGACGGGTTTGTGGGGAGATTGGTTGGTTCCTGATATATGGTGGAACCAAACTAGATCCACTGATACACGATCTGGATCTGCGATTTTTAGAACCTTGCTTTTGCTATAGACTGGTTTAGAAGGCATATAATTTTATTAAGGGTGTGGTTTATATAAGGTTGAGGCTCTAAACAATCAAAGTAAGGCGTAGCTGTAAATAGTGTCAAAAGATGATTTTTCAATAATAAAAAAAATCTTTGTGATGGTCTAAAATTTATTTTCATCTGTATTTATAAAATTTGAACTTCAAAAATACTGTATATCAAGGAGATCTGCAGTACAAGGTGAACTCTTTCTCGGACTTGAAATCTATTTTTTTTCGTGTCTATACATCTCGAGGCCGAGATGATCGATTTGAGGGTTTTTTGACATCGAAACAGCCTCTTCTAGTGAAATTTGGGGTGTGCCTTAATTTGATTGTGTAGGGCCTCAACCTTATATAAACTTTTTCCTTTTATTAATATGTTCTTGGTGTACATGAATTTTCATTATTTCCGTAAAAATGATTGGTCCAAGTTAACCTTTGATTATGTTGCGTATGTTGGCATCAAGAGCCAGGCTTTTCAAGGAGTACAAAGAGGTGCAACGAGAGAAATCTGTGGATCCGGATATCCAACTCTTGTGTGATGATTCCAATATTTTTAAATGGACGGCTCTTATTAAGGCAAGCTTTCAGTTTCCTTGGTCAACCCAAATTTGTCCTGTCCTGTCCTTATCTTATTAAGATCTCGTCTTTGTTTTAGGGACCTTCTGAAACCCCTTATGAAGGTGGTGTGTTCCAGCTGGCATTTGCAGTCCCAGAGCAGTACCCATTGTTACCTCCTCAAGTTCGGTTTTTGACAAAAATATTCCATCCCAATGTGCATTTCAAGGTACTAATATTTTGTTTTTTTAGTTATTATTAGTTAGCTTTCAGTAAGTCTTGGCTCTTGAAGAAGTTGTGTTAGTTATGGATCTAATGGCTGGTTATCTAGTTACATTTGTTATTGACTTTGTGAGTATTCTAATGAAGACATCTCAACTGGCTCGATTGGCTTTTGAAAGAGAATGAAAAATAACCCAAGTTTTAGGAAACTTGGAATTGGCTATAGAGAATGGTAGTTGTACATGAAATATGATTATGCCTTTGTACTGAATTGATAAAATTAAAATATTTGCAGGACCGTATAGCAAGAAATTAATATATCAATGAGAGTATGATGAAGATGAATTGCTCCCTTAGTTGATTGTATGCATGTGCACCAATGTAATGTTTGCCATTATATTAAGCTCCTATTCACAAACCCTAAATAGTGTCAACGGTAAAATGTATACATCTGTTTACACACACACTCACATAGATGGATTGGCAAAGGGCTTTCATAGGAACTCATGCAGACTCATGCTCGAAGAGTTTGGCAAACCTCACATGGCATTGTGAATGAGGCCTTCTGGGTTCTAATAAAATAAATTCATTTTAAGATGCATATTGTCTTGATATTTTTGTGATGTAGACAGGAGAGATATACCTTGATATCCTTAAGAATGCGTGGAGCCCAGCATGGACTTTGCAGTCTGTTTGTAGGGCCATCATTGCCTTGATGGCTCATCCAGAACCTGATAGCCCACTTAATTGTGATTCTGGTAATTTGAAATAGTTACTCTCTCTTGCGTTCAAATTGGGCATCTTGTCTTCTAAATATGCAATTTTCTCCATTTATAGAAACATATTTCATACCAGAAGTCTACACTGTTAACTTGTGCTGTTTCTTATATTGGTCTTTTTGTCTGAGATTGGTAACAATGTTTCCTATCGAGCTTATGGTTTCCTCTCTTTTTTTGGGGCATTTTTGGGGGCGGATCGGCTGTGGTGATATTGTTTTGTAACTTTTATCTTCCCCTACAAAACATTTCAGATTTATGGGAGTCCCTTTGGTTTAAAACTGTGTTTTACCTGTGCTCGACACTTCCACCAAAGGTTTTGGGTCTTTGTGCAAATTCTACTACTAACCCCACAATTAACTTATAAATTTTAAGGTCGAGGAAGTGATTTCAAGTGCAAAACCATGTTGTCCCCTTGCAATCTGAGTTTTGAGGTCTTTAGCAAAATACCATGGGTTCACTTGTATGAGTATTAATAGGAACCTTTTTATTAATTTGAGTTTAGGTTAAACAAAGCGTTTAATGGGATCAACTTGCTTCATGCCTAATGGCTATGGTTTTGGACCAATATTCCATACCATTGGAGCCTAACTGCCGTATTTTCTGCACCTATTTGCATTGACTAGGTCCAGTTACTGTCCTGACATTATAGCTTGATTAGAATATTTTTATACACCAACATTAGAAGATGGATATCTCTCTCTCTCTCTCAAGCTTGCTTCCTGTGTTTCCATTTGCATCTCACAAACTCCTTCCTCCTTTTCCATTTGTTTTTAAAGAAAAACTGATATTTTCATGATCTATGAGAAGTAGTGAATTGTAATAATCATTTGCAGGTAATCTTTTGAGGTCTGGAGATCTAAGGGGGTATCAGTCCATGGCAAAGATGTATACTAGGCTTGCTGCCATGCCCAAGAAAGGTTAAGTTCATTGTATCCAAAAAAGCAAACTCTATGGAAGGCAAATCTCACATTGACATGTATTGGTTCTCGACCTTTGTCCATTTATCACATTATTCAGTGTTGATGATGACTTTGTGTCTTACCCAAAAGTAAAATCAATCCAAGTCTCTGTGTTTTCAATTAATGTGAATCACTTTGCTACTTTATAGCTACAAATAATTACAATTAGTTACTTTCAAAAGTTTGATTACTAAAATGATGTGCTGAAGAATCTTCTTTAGTGAAACGCATTTGATATGTTTCATACTCCGTTGATATTAGAAAGGGTGAAAGAGTCGAGGCTCTAAACAATTAAAGGTAAAACGAACCTTCAAATAGTGTTGATGAGAAATGTGGTTTCTATACTAGAAATCTTTGTGATAGCGTTAAAATACATTTTCATTTTTAATTATAAAATTTAAAACTTCAAATATTGTGTAGATCGAGCAGATCTATGAAAATTTGAAAATCATTTGACAGCCCAAAGATGTATTACAAGATGCACTACTTCCAAAACTTCAAATGCATTTTCTTTTCATGTCCATGCATCTCAAAGTCGAAATGATCAATTTGACGATGTTTGGGCATCAAAACAACCTCTTTAAGTAAAAGTTTAGAGGTGTGCCATAATTTGATTGTTTAGAGCTTTGCACTTATATAAACAAAACAACCTCTTTTAGTGAAAGTTTAGAGGTGTGCCATAATTTGATTATTTAGAGCTTTGCACTTATATAAACATTTTCCTATTAGAAAAGGTTGGGATTTATGGGCAAATGCATATGTTATGGTGAGTCTACGCTCCTAAAATCCTAAAATCCAACGTAGACATGGATTTCAAACGCGAGATTTTACGAGTTCATTATATCATAAATATTGAAAAAGACGGATGTTCAGCTTTAAAAATAGTTCGTTTTATACTTTGTTTTTGGATCGGTCATTTTGAATATATTTTCAATATTCATTAGATTTACACTGTTTTTGGAGCTCCAAATTCATAAATATGAGGAACTGGCTTCACTTGGGATGTTTTCGGTACTAAACTTTTTAAAACACCATACTCGTGTATGAGACGGTTGACCGAAATTGTTTTCCATTGGAAAATTATAGGCGATTGACCTCATAGAGGTTTATAAACCCTAGGTCATGTAACAATAATGGATGATTTGCTCACGGTGGCTTAATTCATCATCGAGACCGTGATCATGAATATTGAAAATGATGGATGTTCAGCTTTAAAAATAGTTGGTTTTATACTTTTTTTTGTTTTCAATGGGTCATTTTAATATATTTTCAATATTCATCAGATCTGCAATATTTTTGGGGCTCTAAATTCATAAATATGAAGAAATGGATTCACTTGGGATGTTTCGAGTACTAAACTTCTTTAAAAACCAGACTCGTGTTTGAGAAAATTGACCGAAATTGTTTTCAATTGGAAAATTATAAGCAATTTTTACATCGGATGGTTGTAAGTAATTGTGACGTCTTTGTATTAAAGGTAAATGGTCTTATTGTATACCATCTTTTTTTTAAAACTCATTTTTATTGCCTTATGTGTATATTTGGAGGGTTATGTGTATGGGTGGTCCATATGCTAAATATAAAAAAGGAAAATACACGAGATTAAGTTTCATCTTCGGTTAAAAAAGGATACGACGACCACTAGCCCCACACCTGTTGTAGGGCGGGCCTTAGAGTTATGCACCTTCGAATGGTATAAGCCCAAAGTATTGAGCCACAATGGTGGAAGGGCCTGAACCGCCTAGAGCTCCGCTTTATTAGGATCACATTGGTGTAACGTACTAGAGTAAGTCCAGAGTATTGAGCCACAAGGGTCCCGAAGAAGGCTTCCGTAGCCAGCAATAGAGTAAGTCCAGAGTATTGAGCTATAAGGGTCCCGAAGAAGGCCTCCGTAGCCAGCAATAGAGTAAGTCCAGAGCATTGAGCTACAAGGGTCCCGAAGAAGGCCTCCGTAGCCAGCAATAGAGCCCTTCACGCTACCATGAAATTTCAGTTTCACGCAGCCCTCCAGAAGCGTAGTCCAAAAAACGTTTGTTGGGACGTTTAGGTTTTAAAAGTAGGAGCTGGGAGAAGTTGGAGAGGGGATTGCTTTCAAAGGGAAGAAACCATGCACCCAAATGGTAATCGAACGCTTAACTTCAATAAACTCTGGTAGCTCTGTACTTCGTCCTTCAAAATTTATCTGGTTTCTCGCTCCAAAGGTTCCAAGTGGCAACAACAACATAAATCCTCCAAAGCTGAATTCCCACGGCCATGAAAGGAGGGGACCATAGAAGTTGCCGCTAGGCGAGAATCTCAGAGTGCCTGAGGCATATCCAATTTGTTGGGTGGAGGAGCCAAACCCAAATGGCCGATAAAAAAGGGCAGTGAATGAAAAGATGATCAATAGTCTCCTCATCATTTTTGCAGCATACGTTAGTAAGGATGAACCCCATCCTCTTTAGAGGATCGATAGTGAGAAGCCTTTTGTATTCGATAAGCCGAAAAAAGGTCTTGACCTGGTGGGGGGTTTTGCAATTCCATAGTTTTAACGGTCTCTGAAAATCTTTCGGTACAACGATGAAGCATAGAACTGACTGTCCGAGGCCAGGGACCAGACTAACCAGTCTGGTTTCTTGGGGTGGTAACATAAGAACGATGCCATCAACTCCTGAAATTGGATATCAGTGTGAGCATCAACCTTATAGATGTTAAGTCTGATATCCCACACCGACCGAAGAACTTCTTGTTTCTGTGTTGATCTCCTATAGTGATCACGATACACAAGTTTAAGAGGATAATCATCAAGCCATTTTTCATGCAAGAATCTGGTCATGGCTCTGTCTTCGACTAAAATTCTGGAATAGGCGAGGAATAAAGGTCTAACCTGCTGAATTCCTTTCCAAAATGAATTTAAAGGCTCAGTTAATAAAAATGAATTTTCTTGTTGGATTGGGATCCGTTCCACAAAAAATTCCTCATCAACAATTCCATCTCGTGTACCAAAGATGTCTTCATTGTGTACCAAAATTTGCACACCTTACCTAACAATAACCTTACCTAATAATAAAAAGCAATGATTGCCCCCAATGTTTTTGAAAGATATATATTTTGTTTGTGCTTTTAATACCATTAAGTAGCATATGGTTTACTAGTTATAACTTATTTTTCTGCATGTGGAGGGCTTGTGTTCCATTCTCTTTGACAAGAAAGGAGGTTCGTTTATCAACTATTTTTTTTGTCAATTTTTATTTTTTTCTTGTTAATTTTATTTTTTTGAAGTCAAATTTTTTTCTTATAAATTTTTTCTTGTCAATTTTATTTTTTTGAGGTTAAATTTTTCTCTTATAAAAAAAAAATGAAAGGTTTTTTTTATCAATTTCTCTTTTTGTCAAATTTTTTTATTATCAAAAAAATGAAAGGTTTTTTTTATCAATTTCGCATTTTGTCAAATTTTTTTCTTATCAATAAAATAAAAAATTTCTACTAAAAAAAATGAAAGGTTCTTATCAATTATTTTTCTTGTCAAATTTTTTTTTTTTGTCGAAAAAAAAAAGTAATAAAAAATTATTGTAAAAAAAAAAAAGTTCTTATAAAAAATTAATAATACAACAAGTATTTTTGTCAAAAGAAGAAAATGAAAGGTTTTTTTTATCAATTTCGCTTTTTGTCAAATTTTTTTCTCATCAAAAAAATGAAAGGTTTTTTTTATCAATTTTGCTTTTGTCAATTTTTTTTTTTATCAATAAAATAAAAAGTTTCTTATAAAAAAAAAATGAACGTTTCTTATCAATTATTTTTCTTGTCAAATTTCTTTCTTTTTGTCAAAAAACTAAAATGGTTTTTGTCAAAAAAATAAAAAGTAATAAAAAGTTGTTGTCAAAAAAAAAAAAGTTCTTATAAAAAAAAAAATAATACAACAAGTATTTTTTGTCAAAAAAATTATTTCTAAAAACAAAAAACATGTAATACAACAAACATTTCTTGTAAAAAAATAAAAGGTTTTTGTCAAAAAAACTAAAATGTTCTTATAAAAAAATCATTATTTATTATAGTCCATGTATGATTATATACTTCATCCATAATAGTTCAATGATTTTTATTTTGTGTGATGTAATTTAATGGTTAAAATAAGTTCATACAGATAAAAAATATCTCAATATTCACATATTGATGAAAAAAATGAAAATTAATAATATACTACCCCTATTTCTTATTGGATTCCTAAAAAAAAAATATTTATAATAAATTTTAATAATTTTTTTATATTTTTTTACAGCTTAATCCGATCGATTTCGTCGATTCCTGATCTGGATCGTGGATCTACCGATCCGGATCGCCGATCCACCGATCCGGACGGATTTTTGGGGTGCCCGATCAGGGCCACCGACCCTTTTTTTAAACCACTGATGTTAACTTTTAAGCGGTGTGGGAGGCCTCCTTTCCAATGTAAAGGTATACAATTGGTAATAGGTACGGGTCGGGTTGGACTCGGATCTAAAAGAATTATGGGACTAGGACTGAGACCCAAAGTTATTGGACACGGACCTAGACTCAGTTGGACCTAGACCCCGAACTAGAATCCAAAGCCGACCAAACCTAATCATATTTGACCCAAAAATAAAAGAAATATATTTAATATGGGAAAAGTTTATATAGAGCCGAGGCTCTAAACAATTAAATTAGAGTATAGCTCAAAAATTTTACTAGAAGAAGTTGTTTTGATGCCCAAATATCCTCAAGTTGATCATCTCGACATCAAGATGCATGGACATGAGAACAAAATGGATTTCAAGTTTGGAAAATAGTGTATTTTGTAACACATGTTTGGACCTTCAATTTTCAAGATTTTCAAGTTTCATAGATCTGTCGATCTACAATATTTTTTAAGCTTTAAACTTTATAAATAAAGATGAAAATATATTTTAAAACTATCACAAAGATTTTCAATATTGAAACCACATTTATCGACACTATTTGAAGGTTGGCTCTAATTTGATTGTTTAAAGCCTAGGCTGCTCCCTACAAACTGCACCCTTTGAATATTTTGTTAAATATATACATGCATTATTTAAATATTATAATTAAGTTATATAGCTATATTTTATTTAATAATCAATTAAAATATTATATAAATAATAATACTATTCGGGTTGGATATGAGTTAGATCCACATGGACCCAACTTTAGATCCGAATAGTGTTTTGGATCCAAGATTTGGACTCAGATCCAACCTGTCGAGTCTAATTTTTGAACCCATATCTGGACCTAGGTTGGGTCTAGGTCCATTGCTACCTCTAGGTATGAGTGCTTCAAAAGGATCAATAGGGCATATTGTTCACCTAGAGATTTTGTGTTGAATGGCTAGAATTGGGTTTGGATTTGTCCAAATAGGGGATTAAAATAACAATAAAAATAAAAAAAGTATATTTATAGGGTCGGTATTTACAACCAAAAAAATATATCAGATAAAGCTTAAAAAAAAAAATAAAAAAAATACAGGTTTTCAGCATGGTGCTGTTTACATAGAGCCAGGGTTCTAAACAATCAAAGTAGAGCCCACCTTTAAATAGCGTAAGAAAATGTGGTTTCAACATAGAAAATATTTGTGATAGCATTAAATTATATTTTCATATCTAATTATAAAATTTAAAGTTTCAAAAATAGTGTAGATCAAGCAGATCTATGAAAATTTGAAAATCTTGAAAATTGATAGTCTAAAAATGTATTACAAGATACACTATTTTCAAAACTTGAAATGTATTTTTTCTCATGTCAATGTATCTTGATGTCGAGATGATCGATTTGAAGATATTTGAGCATCAAAATAACTCTTTCTAGTGAAAATTTGAGGTAGGCTCTCGAATTTGATTGTTTAGAGCCTTGGCCTTATATAAACTACTTCCTTTTTCGAAAAGAACCAATATAGGACCATATCATCCCCGATGGAGTCGATCCCGAGTGATTACCATCCTAATTGGTTATCCATATCAAAATCGGCGGGTTTTAAAACGGTACGACTCGGTTCTTCCATTGGTTAAGGATGCCTTGAAACTTGAAAGAGATCACGTATATCATTTAGCGAATTATTAAGGTTTGTTTTGTCCTTTGATGAACCGTGGGCTAGCCTAGTCTTTCTCCCACTTTTATTTTGATTCCTCTCTCTGCTTAGGTTCGATTGCTCCTCCCAGTTCGAGCTCCAGTACTTTCTCTCTCTAATATTTTCAGGGCTTCTCTCGAACACACTTTCTTCGAGGTAAGTCTCTCTCTCTAAATGCCATCATTTGTGTTACTTTAAGTTTAATTTTTTTGTCTCTGTCTTTTGCTTCCGAAGAGAAACCCTAGTTTTTGAGAGCTAGAAAATTGCAGAACAATCACTTGGACACTTTGTATTTATCTTTAAATTCTTTCATTTTTCTTCCATTTTGTCTGTTCGCTCTCAAATTTTCAGTTATGAAACCCTATTTTTGTGGGCATAGAAACTTGCAGGAGCATTGAACTTATTCTCTTTTTTATCCTTTTTATTTTTTTATTTCTTATGGTTCCGTTTCCGCTCATGAAACCTTCTGGTTTTGTGATGCCTGAACACTGAAAACCCTGTTTTCCTGAAAAAATAGACTGACATTTTTTACCATGGTGGCAAAAACATTTAATTTTGGGCGTAGAATGTTGGAATCCTTTTTCACATCTGAAACTTCTGGTTTTGTGAAATCTTTAACTCTGAAAACCTGATTTCTATTACAGAGACATTAATAGAGCTCTGAAATCATGGCGGTGAATCCCCCAAATTTAGAATGTAGGATGTATGAAGCTAAATACCCAGAAGTAGACATGGCTGTAATGATTCAAGTGAAGAACATTGCTGATATGGGGGCTTATGTTTCTTTACTGGAATACAATAACATAGAGGGCATGATTTTGTTTTCTGAGCTTTCAAGGAGGCGAATTAGAAGTGTTAGTAGTCTTATCAAGGTGGGAAGGCAAGAGCCTGTAATGGTTCTTAGGGTTGATAAGGAAAAAGGTTATATTGATCTTAGTAAGAGGAGGGTTTCGGAAGAAGATATTCAGGCTTGTGAGGAGAGGTATAATAAGAGTAAGCTGGTCCACTCCATCATGCGTCATGTGGCTGAGACAATGCAACTGGACTTGGAGGTGTGTTTGCCTTATATTTTTAAGTGTTTTACTATTTATCTCTATTCTCTCTTTTATTATGTGGTTTCCTTCTGCTTATAATCGATGCGTTCAGATTTTTCAATTGCCTTTTTTTGTTAGAGAACTTAGTTATCTGATTTTGCCTTGTCATGTGCTTTGGAATTTGATGTGGGTTTTTACTTTTCGTTAGTAAATGTATATACAAGAGTGGTTTACATGTCTATTTTTTGGGAGAGTTTGGGGCTTTGATGGTCTTGTGGTTTCATCTTTTATCTATTGATAAGTCGAGAAGTGTTCTGCCTTCATACGTATACATTAGGAACTTTGTCATTAGTCTCTTAATTTAAATCAGCTAAGTCGTCCCATTCTATCTAGAGAAATCCAATGCTAGGGTGAGAATTTTTATTGGAAAATGTATATCACTCTTGTAAACTAAAATTGTAAAAGAGTAGCTCCTTTTTCTTTTGGTTTCAGTCTTGTCCTTTGTACCTTCCTTATCTTTGTTATCCGTACTCATTAATGAGTACCACCTATGATTTGCATTAATGTTTATGCAATACCAAAGCAACAACTTATGGCATGCCTTGGTTTTGCGAAACTTGGATTGAAATGAAATAATACCTCTGAATCATATTGTTCTGAATCATATTGTTCATTTTACATGTTAAACTGTATAAATAATCTGTGCTTAATATTTTCATTTTTTTAATAATTCGTAACTGTATTACTGAACATATGGTATCACATTGAAATTAAAAAATAGCGATCCACAACCCACATATCGAGAACTCTGTAGTGACAAAATGATGGTACATATCAAAAAATTGGGATTGCTTTTGAAACATTAAAGACAGATATACAGTCCCATGTTTCCAAAAAAGTGGGAATATGTATGATAGAAAGAGAAAGAGAAATAGAAAGAGGGAGAAATATAAACAGAGAAAGGAGGTATATGGAGAAGGGAGAGGGGGTTAGGCTAGAGATAAACAGGGGCTTTCTTCCACTAGGCTGAGCTGGAGAAGGTTGACAGGGTCCCTACTGCCGTTTCTTTAGCAAGGGAATCAGCAGTGTGTTTTTGTTCCTCCAAACTCGGTTGAAATACACCTTGATGTTCCTGCATAGAGAAAATATGTGGTCAAAATAAGGTGTCAGTCTCAATGGACAAGGCGTTTCTCTAGAAGCCCACTGCATGACATTTTGAGGGCCCCCTTCAACTAATAGCCTATGAACTTGTAGGCCTAATTGGATAGTTCTTCTTAGGCCTTCCAGAAGGTAATGGTTTCAGGCATTGTTGAGTCAACCACTCCAATGTAGTCAGAGAAGGAAAAGGTTGAAGTTTCATGGTTCCTCAAAATCACCCCAAACCTGGTTGGACCTGGGCTGCCCAAGGAGCAACTATCTATATTTAGCCTGAGAGAGCCCGTTTTTAGAGGGATCCACACACTTGATCTTGAGGTTGATGGCGGACAGAAAGCCAATCTTTTCTTCCAATTGTTCACGAAATCTGATGTTGAATGGTTGGCAGGTCTTTGAGTAATGGTGGCGGATTTGAGGCGATCGTGATGGATTGGACTGTGGATGATCTAGCTTGGAGATACGGGAGTTTCTCTCTCCAAATGGTATACATGTTTGCCAGGATGGAGGCTTTCCACATGAAAAGGTCTGCTTTATGGTACACTGGGGAAAATAATATTGGAATAGCTGCCTGATCAATCCTGGATTTACCAAAGCCAGCCAAGTGATTGCAAGTGGACTGACCAAAGGCCGGAGCAGGGTAAAAATTCATGGTCTATGGTCTTTCTTCTTGTAAACACATGCTACATCTATTGGGTAGCTGGAAACCTCGGTGTTTAGCTGGTCCAAGTTTAATTTCCGATGGGAAAGCATTATCCAACTGAAAGCTTGAATTTGTGGGGAACACAGATACCCCAAAGCTTCTCTGTAATGGAGAGGGAGCCTCTTGGTTTCGGTTAAGAGCCAAAAAGAAAGAGGATATTGAGATTAAGATTTGAATCATTGTGTCGAATACTTTGTATTTGCTAAAATTCTTTTAGTTGTTTGATTATTCCTTTCTTATTTTGAACTTTTCCCAAGCATTTCCTTTGTGAACAATTTCTACAATGTTACAATAGTACGAAGTGCTGAGTCTAGAGACTCACGACTTTATAGGTTACTTTGTTGGTACACAGGATGGTCCTAAACAACACATTAGGTTCACAAAGGATCTGATCTATATACACAAATTTAGTGTTTCGTGATTCCATATTTAAAGTGGATTACAAGATAACTTGTACATCAAGAAAAATCTAGTTCAATAAATAAAATAGCACTACACCTTTGAGAGAAAAGGATCACTTCTCTTTAAATGTCCATAATACAAACTAGGAGTTTTTAAAAGAAAGGCTACTTGAAATATTTTTTTATGGCATTGGATATCTGAGATTTTAGATTTTTAATTTTTTTAACTAAGGGTGTCTGTACCCCATCCCCACTGTTTTCTTTCTTCTGACTCTTTTTAAGTGATAATTGACCAAATTGCCCCCTTAAACTCTTTCTATCTCATCTTACTGATATAAGGAAACTTAGAGAGAGAAACCGAATCCTCATGGGTGTTGATTCACCGAGTACATAGATATTGAATCAGTGTGGTGTAGAGCTCGGAGATAATCATGGACAGCAGAAGCTAGTTGATGGCAATAATGAACTTCTTGCTTCATCTAGCATCTTCCCTCTCTTCAGCAACTTACTTTTTCTTCATTTGTACACCTTCAAAGCTCCACGCTCCATTTCTCGTTAGCTTCAGAAGTGGTGGAACTCGGGTTATTTAGGCTACTTTTAGGGAGAGAAACACCAATTTTGGAGGTTGAAAGAGGACGAATAGTGGGTGTTTGGGGTGGATTTCCAGTTTTGTGGTGAAATGATGTAGAAATGGCAGTTTTTGGAGAGGCAATTCTGGTTGGGGTTTCTGGTTTGGATGGTGTTGAGGGAGGGAGGGAGGGAGGGAGGGAGAGAGCGAGCATCTGAGAGTGAATACATCTGAGGGGGAGGGAGGGTGGGCGGGAGGTTGCATCTGAGAGTGAATACAATCTAATCCAAAGGGAGAGAGGGAGCAAGCATCTGAGGCAATGTTTCAAAAAGCGCTAGGCAGCACCTAGGCGGCCGGGGGGTCCAGGCCGCCCAACGCCTAGGTGGGCGCCCAAAAACTGGGTGGCCTAGTGGAAATAAATGTTTTTGGAGCTTTTTTCTCTCTAAAATAGGCTCTAATGGGTTTTAGGCTTCAAATAAACCTAAAACCCACAAATCTGCTTCTTTAGTATTAAAAAAATATCAAAAAATGCCCTCAACAAGGGGAATTTCTGCCCCTGGGAGGGGCGAAGGCCCTGGGCGACCGCTTCAGGTGGCCGCCTAGGCGGGTGCCCTGGCCTTTTGGATCGCCTAAGCGGCCGCCTAGGCGCTAGGCAGTCCGCTTTTTACATAAACCTACTTTGCATGAATTTGGTCTTCGGTGATGACTGTTTCTTCCGCAAGTCACTTGAAAAATTAGGGTTTTTGCTAGTGTTTTTTTGATAATGTTAACATCGTATTGAAGGATAAGAGAAATACAAAGAGACCCAAAGGGTCAAAGTACAAAATGTCACCGAGGCACGTGACCAAGTGCAAAAAAAGTAAAAGACGCAGGACGAAATAAAGTAAAACAAAACCACCGAACAAAGTAGGGGCAAAAGAAATGCCCAAAAACAGTGGGCAGTTAAACCAGAGCCCAATTAACCCAAGATAAGACCAGAAGCGGCTCCCTGTTTGGCTAGATCATCCGCTACCTGGTTTGCCTCCCTCCAGATATGAGTCCAGGAAGCTCGCATACCCCTGCAGCGTTCATAAATCTCGTCAAAAACATGCCAAAGCCTCTAAGGAGGTTGGGCAATCCTCGAAGACCAAGATATTACATTCTGGGAATCCCCTTCTATTACAAGGAGGTGACCCCATGAGCTGTCAAAGCGTTTGAGGCCTTCTAGAAGTGCTCGAGCCTCGGCCTCGGTAGAATCAGTTCTCCCAATGGAAAGGGAGAAGGAAGAGAGGGAGAGACCCTCGGAGTCTCAAAAAACGGCACCTATACCTGCAGGGCCAGGATTGCCCAGGATGAAGCATTGAAATTAAGTTTGATGCTTCCTCTCTCGGGAGGTCGCCATAGCGCCGATCGAGGCACCTTCTTGGGTCTGAGGTTAAGGATGAAGGGCCAATTAGCGAGAAAGTCTGATGCTGGGATAAGTTTAAAAAGAGGGTTTTTGTTAGTATTCAGTCGAAGAAGATCGGTGGTTCTTCTACATCTAAGTCAGAGAAAGATTGGGTCTTGACTGGAACTTGGGTTATCCTTTTTTATTGCAATTGATTGGAACTGCTGAGGATTTGCTGATATTGAAGCTCTTGGAGCTATATGGGCTTTTATCTGAGAGTTTGATGGGACTCTCTCTCTCTAAGAATTTTAAGGGCCGCTCTTCTCCCCCATAGGAAATATGAGAAGAACTTTCCTACCCTATTTGTCTTCCTTTGTCCCTTTGGCATAAGTTTCTGACTCCCTCCCGCTACTGTGAATGAGTCACGTGGGCATGGGGATGGCTGTTGTAAAAATCTGAGTCCTATAATATCCAATGTCTAGGAAAAATCTTAAATGGTTTCTCTCAAAAATCTGTCATCCAGGAACCCTTGATGAAAAATCCAAAGTAGACTCAACTCCATGTTCTCTTTGGCAGCATGTCTTCCTTTTCGAAATTATGTGACTTGTAGCAAAATAATAGTAACCTGTTGAATTTTTTCTGCTCCAGAACCCTAAAACTTTCCCCTTGTCTATGAACTATTTATCTAGCTAGTAATTCTCTTGGCCCAATAACAAACGAGGGAAGTGCTACAGTTGTGGAAGCCTCGGCTTCCACAAAACAAATACACTCCTAATATTGCTCTATTATGATGTGATCCATGATGATATCCTTGGTAGGGACACCCCTAAACTCAGCTGGAGGAAGGGCCCATGAGATGATGATGTCTCTATTGTCTTCACTCGGGTTAGATTGTTTGTCCTACAACCCTGGAAGATCCTTTGATTCCGCTCTTTCAACTTGTGTCATGGAATCCTTGGAGGCAAGGCTGCCATGATAGACACTATTTCCAACAAGTAGGAGAGATACCCGTGAAGCTGGCATAGCCCTACAGGCAATAGACTGATGGAGACCCCATAGGCCAATTTCCTTTTTATTTATTTATTAGTTTTTGTATATCAAGAAAGTAACAAATGATTGTAGAAATTTGTCACCCTTGAGATTTATTGTCCTCACCTGATTGACTTCATTAGAAGAAAAAAGTTCAGAGGAAGTCCTTTTTAGGATTTAAGTTAGTTGGAATCCAAAAAGGTCATCCTTGGATAAAAAATGATTTCCATAAGTACCTCCATAGAAGAATACATTATGTATTTTTCTTAAGTAGTTTCACTGCTACAAATGATCAATAGAAGTCTCTCAACCCGTGCTCTAATCTTAAAATATTTTTGATTAGGTTTTCAATTTCCAAATCATGAAGCATGATCCTAAATTCCTAATTGTTTATTTTCTTATTCTTCCCATAGTCCCTTGTCTGTTAAATGCTTTTGTGACGTAACAAAGTTCCTACACCTATTTTTATGCACCAAGTGATGCAAATAATTAAACTATACAGTGCTATGGGGGGCAAATCTCAAAAAGGTTACAAAAAGGTCTCCGGTGTGTTTCCTGAGAGTGCTTCGTCATTAGTGAGGCTATCAGCTTCTGAATTTTCTTTTTGTTGTATGTTGCCAAAAGATTTAAGATTTCATATATCGATAATACCTATTGCATATGAGGTTTAGGACGTGTAGAACTTAGAAATTATTGATTATTTTTGTATTGCTATTGATATTTATGGATCTTAAGTTCAAACTCTGTTTTTCTTAAATGATCCATCTCCATTTATTTTCGAGCAATTTGGTTCTTTTTCCTTTGCTGCATTTATATTTTGTGGGTAATGCAGCTTTCTAGTCTTCAGTTGGTAAACTGCATTCTATCAAAGCTTATTTTTCCTTAGGTTCAACAAGTCTAAATGACAACATTACAAGGTGTTATTTCTGAATTTTCTTTGGACAGGACCTTTACATTCATGTTGGTTGGCCTTTATACCGAAAATATGGACATGCTTTTGAGGTAAGTTGCAACCTGCTTCTTGTATGAAATGAATGTTTGCAATGTTTGATGAATAACTCAAAAACTTTTCTGAGTTATCAGGCATTCAAAGTGATTGTAACTGACCCTGATTCAGTTCTAAATTCCCTCACCCGGGAAGTCAGAGAAATTGGACCTGATGGACAGGAGGTAATGCTATGAATAACTGCCATTTTTTTCTTTTCTGTTAATTTTTTCCGATAGCACTACTCACTTTAAAGTGTTCTTCTTGTAGGTTACAAGGGTGGTGCCAGCAATGACAGAACAGGTTAAAGATGCTTTAGTAAGAAATATTCGAAGGCGTATGACCCCACAACCATTGAAGATACGGGCGGATATCGAGATGAAATGTTTCCAATATGATGGGGTTCTTCATATTAAGGTCTGTGTTTTGTCCAAGTCTGATTGTGGAGCTTCACCTTGATGGAATCTGCATTTCTGTTAGTTAATTTTGTTACTTTTGAATAGGGTATTCTGAAGTGTTTTTTTAATTTGAGCAAATTACATACGAACACTATTGAGGGAGGTCAATTATCATTTGGTGTCTCATTTTCCTGAAATTACGAGCACCCCCCCTCCCCCCTTTTTTCCCCTAAGTTGCCTCTCGTCCGGCAATGGAAACACCCGGATAGGGGGCTATTCTTTCCTTTTTAAGTGAACTCCATTTCTTTCACTCACCAACACCAAACCCATATGCTCCATACTTTCACTCACCACCTCCCCAAAACCTCGTCTGAGAAACCCCAAACCCACCGGGAAACCCTAGGATATCGTTGGGAACCCCAATAATTCGCCAGAAAAGCCCCCATTAATGGCGACCTTCACCTTCTTCTTGGTCCTCCTCTTGGTGGGTCTGCCATTTCAGACCCAGACGACGAAGCCTGCTTATCAAGCCTGAAACAATGCTTTCAAGACCCAAAAGGAATGCTCGCTCATTGGACAAAGAAGGATTTAGCCTCTCCCTGTAATGGCATCGTCACCTCTTACCTGGAAGGGGTCACCTGCAACAATGATCGCTTATGCAACGGGGAAGTTCTCAGGCAAGTTCTTGGGGTTTGTACAGAGAGATAGAGCGGCTTTTGTGAATTGGCTGTTTGGAGGATAGAGAGAGAATGGTCATTACAGCAACTGCGGTGCCATGGGCTAGAGAGATGAGGCAGCTTGCCGCTTCCTTTCAAAATTCAGGGCGATGGTGGCAGAAAACAAAAAAGTAGGCAGAGAGATAAGCAAGGAGAAAGAAGGCCAAGGATGGTAGGGCTGGGAAATCAAATTCGAGCATGATGGGCGATGGGGGTCTTTTCTATTTCTACAAATATTTAAGGTTGCTGGATTTTTTTCCAAGAGGCTGAGATTGATCGTTCTCTTTCATGAGAGATTAAAACAGCTAGTCTACTCTCTCTTGGTGTTTGTTGTTTCTCCCTCTTCCTGGAAGGTTTCTTCTGGTCTATATCTCTGTTGGGCAAGGGTTCTGGGTTCTCTCTCTACATATATTGGGGCAATGGTTCTTCTCTGTTGCTCCTCTCACTTCTGCTATTTTAAGGTTGGCATACTTTCTCTCTCTTCTGGATATGGGTCCTTAGCTTTTCTCTCTCTTCCAGGAGCAATGAAAGAGGAGGATTCTGTTGTTCTTTGAAGTCAAAAGGAGAGAGAAAGTAGCTGCGCTTCCCTAGAGAGAAGGGGCCCAAAACATAGCGAGAGAAAGCCATGATGAGCTTAGGAAATTGGCATCACAGTTCCCTAGAAAAATAAACCTCCAACTTCATACGGAGGGGGCCGAACCAAAACTGCTGCTCGCGCTTAGAGAGAGAAAGACAAGTGACAACTTGGAAAAAAGAAGAAAGTGCTGTACAGCAATTCAAACCCCGGACAACATTGGTAACTTAGGACAAAAAAGTCCTGTCCGGTGTTTTCATTACTGGACCGGGGGGTAACCTCAAGAAAAAAAAAAAAGGCCGCAGGGAGGGGTGGTGGTGCTCGTAATATTGGGCGAATGATCCCCAAATGGTAATTGACCCCCAAAAAAAGGACCGTACGTAATTTGCTGATTTAATTTTCTCCGTGGGAATGGATTCTTAGGATTGTGTTACTCTCATTGAGTTTGTTTGCTCTTGCTTATTTTCTGTTTCTTCACAGGAAGCTATGAGGAAAGCTGAAGCTGCAGGCAATAATGATTGCCCTGTGAAAATCAAGCTTGTTGCTCCTCCCCTTTATGTTCTTACCACTCAGACTTTGGATAAGGTATGTGTGGGGGTTCTCATGATATTAGAACAGCTTGAGAATTACATAATGTGCTTTAAGCAGGATTTCCCAATAATTAATCTGAATATTTTTTTTCTATGATTGTGGATATAATAAAGTGTTCAAAAGGTGGAGGCGGCCGCCTAGGTGATTTATTGGCCAAGCCGCCTAGGCGGCTGCCTAGTCGGTTGGGTGGCCAACATTTTCATCACTGATAAAATGGAATACAGAAATATATAGCAAATGCTGTTTTGTGTCTATGGGGGTAAGAGCCTATTTTCTAACTGGTATCTGGTCTGTGGTTCTTGTGTTTGACTGTTATAAAGATTTGTGACTGTAGAGGTAAATTAATGCTGTGTAAGTGTGTGTTGCTTAGAGAATAGGCATTGACTGACTCACTCTTCAATGAAGCCGGCATTTGGTGACATGAAACAATTTAAAATGCGTCATAGTTTGGCTATTATCAGTCATAATTGCTTTGAAGACTTGTAGTTTAGGCTTCATGATTTACTCAGCCATGGACTTAGAGCAACTTAGGTTGCCTGATATTTGATATTTTGAGAAGCGGTTTATCTTAAATGAATATTTGGCTAGTTTGAAAGCCCACTTAAATATGCTTATCTGGAAGTTAAAAAACTGTTCCTCTGCCCGAGAACCACCGAAAATTTATCAATTTTGCTTTGAGAAAATTTGAGAAGTTCGTATAATCATTCAAAATCTTGCCATGTCTTATTGCAATCAATTTTAGGGTCCAAATGAGGTTCTTATAAGACTTTTGGGGTGATTTTAAGCTTGTTAGACAACTGAAATATTGAAGATAAACATCCAAAACATTGAATAATTAAAGATCTCCTCTTTCTTTTCATTTTCAGAGCATCTTTTGTACAACATCATTTCGTATTGGTCATTTGGTTTATTGGGGACTTGGAGTTTGTGAGTATGACTCTATGAGTATATAAAGTATGGTGTGTACTTGTGTTTTTTTTTCTTCACTATTTTAATTATTCAAAGAAGCAAAATTTTCAGTAATTTGAACGTGTTTCATATTCATGTGCATATATATGTATAAAAAAGTTAGTTAGAATATATGTAAATGCTTAAATATACATATTTAACACATATAGGTGTATATGTGCATTTGGATCGCACATATTATATGTATTATCTCGCACAGTGCTTGAGGTTCTGGGCGGCTGCCTAGGGGCCAGGTGGCCTATATATCCCCCTCCCTGAGAAAAAAAGAGAAAAAGAAAAAGAAAGGATAAACACTCCCCAGATTCCCCCGGCTTTTTTATTTTTGGAGCCTTGAGTAAGACTTTCAAGATTGATGTTATTCATTGTTGATTGTGTACTTGATTGCATGTGTTGTGCTTGTAATGCATATCATCGCGTACATTCTAACTCTATATCGAAAAGCTATATAAAGGTTATGAGGTTGAAAATATGAATTTGATAAGAAGTTTGTTGTCTTGTCTGCACGCATTTCTACAGAGTGGATCGTGTTCATTCATTTCTTGCTAATTATCTCATTGATTCTGAAAGGTGTATTATTTTTAAACTGGAAATGATGAGCCATATATAGTGCCCTTGATCCGAATCTTTGGTGTAACTGTTAGATAGAGAAAAGTTCAAATGTGCTCCTATTAAAATGTGGCCCTCTTCCAAAAGTTTCTCTTAGAGAGGATTTAGAATCCAAAGTATTACTCTAGATGCACTTTGGCATTAGACTCATGATTTGCAGCTCATAAACAGTGCATATCTGGTGATTTGTGCAGAATTAGAATTAACAGTGCAAAAGTTAAATTTTCAGTAATCTATTTTTAAGGTTCAAAATCCATTTGTTTTTCAAATTCATGCACCCTTTGCAATTTTTAGGTCCAAAATCCTTCTTTAACATGGGTTTTGTGAGGAGACTGCATTTGAGTAGGTGCGTTGGCCGATGCACCAAAATCCTATACTTTTAGATACTCGTACTTCTCAAATGTGTAAAAGCATGTGAATGAAACAATATCTAATTTTAGAAATCAAAATTCTTCTATCTCTGTTTAGAGTGACCTTCCATGGTATCATGGAGCAAGATCAGATTGTCTCCTTCAAGAAATTCCCCATCATGACGTATATCTATTATAGGGGCTTATTGTATTTCCATTTGTTCTATGACCTGTATTAGCTGAAGCCGCTGGTTTCAAAAGTTGCTCTACCTTTTTGACAACAGATTTCAAGGTCAGTAATAATTAATATTAGTGCCGCTCTCCGAATCTCTCTCCCTCGATGTTGCTAGATGCCTGGCCATCATCGTGCGGACTAACTTCTCACTTTACATACTATTTGTGAAAATTATCTCCACTTTATGTATCACTCCTTTTTGATGAAAAGATATCAAAGGTTAGTTCTTTCTAACTGGCACTGAATCTTATATTTGTGAATGCCTTTTTTCTTGCTCAACATTTATCCTACTTGACGTCGTTTTCCTTGAGTTTAAGTCCTTCATGATTCAGAACTCATTTATTGCTGGAGCCAAAGGTTCTCGTGATGATTGGTTTATAATGCTTTGCTTTCATAGCCTCATTTGATGTTCATAACGTGCCAATTAACTCTATCTCACTTGTTTCTGTATTATTTTTTGTTGTGAATATACACTAGTTCAAGTCAAACCTGGAATGAACAAGATACGGTTATTTACTCTAGATTATTTATTAGTAGAGATGTACAACAATTGATCTTCCCAATTGGAAAATTGCCTGAGCTTTAAGTTTTCTGACCTCTTATCGATATTATGGCTGCACTATTCTCAATGGTATTCGATGGCTCTGTGATTTACTTTGGACAGGAGCAAGGCATACATGTTCTAAATGCTGCCATCAAAGCTTGCACTGAAGCAATAGACCTACACAAGGGGAAACTTACTGTCAAGGAGGCTCCTAGAGCTGTGAGTTCCCTCATTCCAATTGTGCATTCTATAAATGTCTGTGTGCATGCATGCACACACGCACACGTTCTGACTTCCACTCTTGAGCTTTTTTGGGAGTAATTTGCCTTGGGGGTTGTTTTTTTCATTCATGTAAACTTTTGAGAAAACACATAAATGACTTGCATGTTAGCCTTCTAGTAGTTGGCCGCCGAGTAACCATGGCAAAACTATAATAATATCATACAAAAATATAATTTTTGGAATATTTTTGCAAAGCTACTACTGAAATGGGCCTTTATGATTATAGGTGAGCGAGCGTGATGACAAGCTTCTTGCCGAGCACATGGCCAAGCTGAGGGCTGATAATGAAGAGGTCAGCGGTGATGAGGAAACTGAAGAAGAGGAAGATACAGGGATGGGCGAGATTGATCTTGATAATGCTGGTGTGACTGAGTAGATTATAAGACACAAATCAAAACGGAAAAATTAGGTGATTTTGGTTAACACTATTGAGTTTACGTGTATAGAACCGCCCCAATTTGTGCTGCTCGTGATTAAGGTTACATTTGTTATTTTCATTGAAGTTTGCGGTGGTCGATTTATCTGCCTTGTATGGAATTTGTGATCCTGAGATTTTGTTCAGAGCTCTTCAGTTTTCATGTCATTGGGATATTCTACATGAATTACATATTAATTTAAGACTTATCGCAAAAAACGTTTTACATATAATTGTAGAGAGGTTTGGGATGCCATATGGAGGAACTCCTTAACATTGACCGAGTTTAATTTTACAAATGGGAAACAGATTATTGTAAACAATTAAGACCAATTATTTACATGAAGGTCACAAGCTCTCATATGTGATGTTTGGCAGCTAGGTGTGTCTCAAAGTTGAAAGACAAAATTTTTGGACTTTGGGATACATCTGTTGTCTAAGATTGTCTAACATTACGTGTGACCAATGTGAAATTTGTGGCTAGGTGTATCACGAAGTTCAAGATGATGGCATTGAGAAGCATTTCTTGTCTAATTTGGCATCTAACATCTGATGTTAATAGTGTCTGATATGTAATTTGGCAGGCGGCTTGGTGTGCCACAAAGTTGGAAGAGCTTTTTTTTGACTTGGGAGCATTGACATCGAACTGCCAACGTGAAATATGACCTACTTGTACCAACTGTATACCCTTTTCCTCCGCCAAAACCAATGTTTTTTTAGTTTTTATGGAGATTAATGCGTGATTAATTTGGCGAGTCTTTTCCTTCTTGCCAATTTGTGTGCCCTCTCATATGCATAGGATCTTGTAACAAGCTAAGAATCAAAATTCCAAAGATGTGAGAAGCCGTATTCTACCCACTCCAACCACACTTAGAAATTCTAGTACTCAAATGAAATATGCTTTTAAGACTTTCTACACAATGACTCTCTCTACACCCCATGGAGGCCATCCTGGGTGCCAAAAGCCAAGAATCAACCCTTGAATGTGGCATGCTATCTTCTCTTATCAATCCTTGGGTCTCAAAATTCCTTACTCCAATGTTATATATATATATATATATATATGAAAAAATCATCCCAACATCCATAGGACAAAATGAACAGTGATTTCGTTTATTTTTCTCACCGTTCAAAATTCAACGTACGGTTGCGATTATTCGATAGTGTTTTATTTTTTTATTTTTTTTCGACAATTCATAATGATATGAAATTTAAAACATATGTACATTTTAGTAAGGTGTACTTAATAAACATATAAAAAAAATAATTCGTGAAAAAAATTGACCAAAATACCATCGACACGTTTTGAAGGTATTTTGGTCGATTTATTTGATGTAAAATATTTTTTTGATACTTTCGGTAGATTCGTTTATTTTCTATCAATAAACACTTCTAAAAAAATAGAGAGAGAGAGAGGGAGAAAACCAATTGGCAGTCCGTCCGATGGCAGTTTTCCTAAACTTCTGTGATGAAGACACGGGAAAGAGCTTCACGGCCCATCTCAACAAATCTCTCACTGATTCCGGTATCTCTACCACCTTCTCACTCACACAACAAAAACCACCACCACCACCGAGAGATATAGAGAAAGCTATTAAAGAATGTGAGGTGTTTATTGCCGTCTTTTCACCCAACTATGCATCCTCTTTCTCTTGCCTTCACCACCTCTCTTATGTACTGAGCTTGCCAACGAGGAGGACTATCGTTCCTGTGTTTTATGAAGTCGAGCCTTGGCATGTGTGCTGGCAAAAGGGGCCTTTCGAGGGGGCTTTCGAGGATCACAAAAATAAGAACACGATGCAGGGGTGGAGAAATGCTTTGAAAGAAGTTGCCCATATTTTTGGTTTGGATACCAAGGATTACAGGTATAACCAAATATCTTTGATTTCTTGAAAAATAAACAAAATGCATCTCTCTGTCGCTAATTACTAAGTATATTTGATGTTTTGATAAAAAAGAGAACCCCTCTCTCTCTCTCTCTCTGTGTGTGTAGAGTTTGGGAAGAGAAACTCCATAGAAAATAAGTATAAAGTGTAGAAGTACTATTTCCACTTCCTACAGTGAGGTTTGTAACTATCTCTGTCTTTTCCTCTAGCTATGCTTCCTCTTCCTTCTGCCTCGACAAGCTTTTTTATATTCTGAGTTTGCCACCAACGAGGAGGAGGCCCTTTCTTCCTGCCACTTATGATATGGAGCCTTCGGATTTCCGTTGGCAAAAGGGATCCTTCAAGGGAGCTTTTGAGGATCACAAACGTAAGAATGGGATTGATGAGGAGACGATGCAGAGGTCGAGAAATGCTCTGAAAGAAGTTGCCGATCTTTCTGGTTGGGAAATGAAGAATTACGGGTATAACCAAATGTCTTTGATTCATTAAAAAATAAACAAAATATATCGCTCTCTGATCTTCTCTCTCTGTTGTCGCGATCAGGAACTCCATAGAAAGTAAGTATAAAATGTAGAACCAATTGTATTAAGGGCCGTTTGCATCTATGGAAATAGATTATTACTCTAGGTAATCTATTCCTATTGAAATACATTTTGGAAAAATATTTCCTATGAAACAGATTTCTGCGATAGATGCATAAAATTTCCATATTTTTTTTTAAAATTTTTTTTTGTTAAATATATTTATTATATTATTCATTATAAGGTTTTTTTACTAAATATGAGGTAGTTTCTTTATCTAAATAGTTGAAATGATATCTCTGTAAAAAATTTCAAAGTAGTTTCTCATTTGATGTAGTTTTTTTTTTCCAAAATTTTAAGATATTTTGTCTCCCTAAAACTTAAAATTTGAGATAGTTTCGCTCTCTAAATTTTTTAACATAGTTTCCCTCACTATGAATGTTTAAGTACTTTCTCTCTCTAAAACTTAAAATTCAAAATAGGTTTTTTCTCTAAAAATTTTAAGTACTTTCTCTGTCGAAAATTTGATGATATAGTTTGTCTCTATCGTTTCAAGATAGTTTTCTTTCTAAAACTTAAAATACGAGATAGCTTCTCTCTCCAAAAAATTTGAGATTGTTGCTCTCTCTTAGAATTTTTAGATGCTCTCTATAAAACGTAAAATTTGGCATAGTTTCTCTCTCTAAAAATTAAAGATAATTTCTCTCTCTCTAAATTTTTTTAAATATTTTCTCTATTTAAAACTTAAAATTTGAGATAGTTTCTCTCTTTAAAATTTTTGATATAGTTTCTCTCTAAAAATTTTGAGTTATTTTCTCTCTCTAAAAATTTTAAAGTTCTTTCTTTCTCTATAACTTAAAATTTAAGATAGTTTCTCTCTCTAAATTTTTTGAGATATTTTATTTCTCTAGAAATTTTGAGTACTTGCTCTCTCTCTAAAACTTAAAAAATTTGAGATAGATTCTCTCTAAAATTTTATAAATTTGAGATAGTTTCTCTCTCTAAAATTGATATAATTTATCTATAAAATTTTAAGATATTTTCTCTCTCTAAAACTTAGAATTTGAGGTAGTTTCTTTCTTTAAAATTTTTGAGATAGTAACTTTCTTTAAAAAATTTTAGCACTTCCTCTATCTAAAACTTAAAATTTGATACAATTTTTTTTCTCTCCAAGAATTTCAAGTACATTCTCTTTATAAAACTTAAAATTTTGAGATAGTTTCTCTCTTTAAAAATTTTCAAGTACATTTCCTCTCTAAAATGTCTTTTGATACTCCCCTCTCTAAAATTTGATATAGTTTCTCTCTCTGGGTCTGTTGTATCTCTCGTATTTTCTTTATCTACTTCCGAGAACCTGTTCAATTTTTTTTTTTTTTTTTTTTCAGTTGCCTCATGAGGAAACGATATATTATGTAGGGCTGAAGCAAATTTGGTAGAGAAACTTGTTACGTATGTTTCTACGAATTTGGAGAGCAAAGCACCAATGCATATTGCTGATCATCCTGTTGGGCTTGAATCTCGCATTGCTGATGTGATGGGACTCTTAGACATTGATAATGTTGATGCTCGGATAATTGGGATCCATGGAATGGGTGGCATTGGTAAGACTACTCTTGCTAAGGCAGTGTATAACAAAATACGTTCAAGCTTCCAAGGCTCCTGTTGTTTCCTCTCAGATGTTAGAGCAATGTCAAAAACAAATAATGGAGTTGTCGACTTGCAGAAACAGCTTCTTTAAGAACTGTTTAATGAAAGTGAGCCAATGTTGATGGAGGTATCAACGTTATTAAGAACAGGATTGGTTCTAAGAAAGTTGTTGTTGTAATTGATGACATTGATAGCGAGAAGCAGCTTGAAAATTTAGCTATTAACCGTGGTGGGTATCATAAAGGGAGTAGGATCATCATCACTACAAGGGATGAGCATGTGTTGAATGTAAACAAGAGAGTTGATGAGTGTCATATCTACAAGCTCAAAGAATTGGATGGCACAGAATCTCTTCAACTCTTCTGTCGGTCTGCATTTGGGATGGATGAACCCAAGCAAGAATATGCCAACCTCTCCGAGGATGTGGTATCCAATGTTGGTGGCCTTCCACTAGCTCTTGAAGTGTTGGGAAGTTACTTAAACGATAAGACCCTTGAAGAGTGGGAAGAGGCAGTAAAAAATTTGAAACCAATATCTGAAAAGGATGTCATGCCAACGCTGAAAATAAGTTTCGATGATTTGAATGAAGAAACAAAACAAATGTTTCTTGACATTGCATGCTTCTTCATAGGAGAAGATAGAGATTATACAATTGATATATGGAAAGGTTGTGGTTTCCCTGTTTTAAATTCCATAAGGAAACTATTGCAAAGGACACTTAAAAAGATTATTAATAAGAATGGGTTGTGGATGCACGACCTACTTCGTGATATGGGGAGGCGGATTGTTGAACTAGAAAACCTGGATGATCCTGGACGGCGCAGTAGGTTGTGGTCTGAAGAAGTCATCAATGATGTGTTGAAGAATAACTAGGTGAGAAAGTCCTAAACTAGCTTATTTTTCTCTTGTTAGAGAATCTTATATAATGAATGAAGATGATATAGTTAGATACATTTGTTTTTGGCTAACATTTACTTTTACTGTCGATCAGGGAACTCGAAAAGTTCGAGGCATAAACGTCTTGGACACCATTGAAACTGAAGCATTTAAATCATTGACCAATCTGAAGCTGCTCAGAATTAATGGTGTGTCTCTGAATGGGAGCTTCAAAATATCTTTCATTGGAATTAGTGTGGATACAATGGTGGGATTGTCCTTTACAGTACCTCCCTGATGACTTTAGCCATGAGAAGCTTGTGGTCCTGGACTTGTCATGCAGCAACGCTCTTTTTGACTTGTCAAACAACAGCGTGAAGCCAGTGTGGAACCTAACCCTTGTTTAAGATCATTTTGTGTCAATTGTTCCTTTTCTTTTCTTGAAAGCTATCGTGGTTGTTATCCTCACTCCAAGCCTAATCTTTTTGTACAGCTTTTCCCGAAGTTGAAGAGTCTTCATCTCAACAATTGCTACAACTTAGAGAGAATTCCCGACTGCTCTCTATACCCAAACTTGGAGAAGTTGATGCTCGCCGAGTGTCCAAACCTCGAGGAACTGCCAGATTCGCTAGGCTCACTAGCAAACCTTAAGGAGTTGGATGTGACTGGGTGCTATAACCTCAGCAGATACCCAGCATCAATTGGAAGGATGAGGTCACTACGTTATTTAAGAATGGGAATTATTTCTATAGCCGCATTACCTGATGATTTTGGGCATCTTTCTAATCTCGAAGAGTTAAACATGGAATGGTGTGAACAGTTGAAAGAGCTCCCCAAAAGCTTTCGAAGTCTCACAAGTTTAAGGATTCTCAAAATTAGAGAAATCAATTTGATTCCATCTTTTTTCTCTGGTTTTTCTTCTTTGGAAGAGTTGGAAGCAGAATTTTGCAATTTAGAGGGGATGATTCCTGATGGCTTTGAAAAATTGTCATCATTGAAAACGTTGAGTCTTGGCAATAACAATTTTCAAGGCTTGCCTAGTAGCATGAGGGGCCTTTCTCAACTAGAAACACTGTCTGTAAAATATTGCAAGCAGCTGGTAGCAATCCCTGAGCTCCCCACCAGTTTGAAAGTTTTAGATGCACCAGGATGCAAAAGTTTGCAAACAATTCCCAAGCTATCCCACCTTTCTAAACTAGAAAATCTGAATATAAGTTGTTGTGAGAAGCTATTAGCTATCGAGGATCTTCCCACCATTTTGGAAATTTTGAATGCTAACAGCTGCATATCTTTGCAAGTAATACCCAACCTCGCTCACTTTTCTAAACTCTAAAATCTTGGATGTTACAAACTGTAACAAGCTATTAGCTATCGAGGATCTTCCCATCAGTTTGGAATATTTGTACGCTTCCAATTGCATATCTTTGGAAACTCTACGTAACCTCTCTCACCTTTCTAAACTAAAAGAGTTGGATGTTTCACACGGTGAGAAGCTAGTAGCTATCGAAGGTCTTCCCACCACTTTGAAAACTTTGAAAGCTTCCAACTGCATACTTTTGGAAATTATATCCAACCTCTCTCACCTTTCTAAACTAGAAGACTTGGATGTTTCCA